TACGTTTCGATTATGCTTGACGGAAAGTACAAAGGCCGATATGCTAGCTGCCGCTGCATCTGCACTGTTCGCCTTGGTTTGCTGCAATCCGGTAAAATATAGTGAATTTAATTTAATAAAATTGGAAAATTTGTGAAGTGGAATGCTGAGCCCAGCGGGTACCAAATGATTGTCAAGGGAAATTTGCATGAACAGAACCAAAATGCATGAAATGTAACAGGAAAAAGTATAAAGATTTGCTAAATGGGTGCAAAACTCAGCTAAGAGATGAGGAAAACGCGGTGCTGAATTCATCTCAGAGGCTGAAAATTGAGTTCTTTAAAAACTTTGGTCGTAAATTTGATATGTTTGAATTTAATCTAACAGAAGAGAGAGACAAATCTTTCTGTTTGGTCAGGAGAATTGAGTGATTTGAAGAAAATGCTGACCCGAGATTTGGCCCCTGCTTGATTTTAACGGAATAACAAATTACGGCCGTTTGAAGGTCGAATCGTAATCTTAAAAAAAAGCGGACGGTCCAAAAGAAATCAAAATGTGAAATGGCCGGAGTTAGCGTGTTAAAATGAAGGGTGGGACAAGTTTGTTAAAATAATTTGAGACTGTCGGTAAGCCGAATTGTTGTCATTAAAAGTGGGCGATCCGGAACTTAAGATCAGAGACAATAGGTCCAAAAATCTTACAGACGGATGGACATTTTATGGGCAGTGTGTGTTTTCTTTACTTAATCGTAAACCCAGGCACAGCCGTTTGTGCGGGTAGGGTTGGAATCATCAGTAGAATGTGTAGGTAACTAATTACCTGCTTTGTACTGGAAGTGTATGGAATTAATTTTTTAATTGAGAGGAACTTTTGAGAAATTGACGCAAACCGCAACAGGATGCATCGGGCTCTCACACGCATACACACACACACACACACACACACACACACACACACGCAAACATGCGCACACACACACACAAACACACATACATGCTTACATACATATATATGTACATACATACATACATGCATGCATATATGCATACATACATATATAAATACATACATACATACACACTGACAACCCCGTGACAATTTGAGTTTTGTACTGCTGTTACACCGCACAAAACGCTTAAAAATGAATTAACAAATTGTTGAAGACTAATATACTGGCAGTAATTGCTTATAACGTGAAATGTCTGTGAACATTTTAACGGAACTGTGAAAATTGCAGTTTCGGCATCTGTGTATCCAAA